TTTGTATGCGTCAGAGAGATATAAAATCATTAATTGCTTATTCTTCTGTATCTCATATGTGGTTAGCTTTATTGATTAATCTGAATATATAATATAATAAATTATTTAATAAAAATTTTTTTTGTATCCAACAAAAGACATAAACGAAGTTTCAAAAAGTATGACAATATTATAATATATTTTATTTTAACAAGGATAATTTTTTGACCGTAGTACAATTTTTATATAAATTTTTATTTTGTAGGTTGTAGGTACTGATAAACATTGTCAGACTGGTGAGGATGCATCTACAAGAAAAAATGGAAGCTAAAGATATAAAAAATAAATATTGCACTGGCCTAAATTAATTTAAGAAACTAAAGAGTTGTGTCTACGTTAGGTATGTACCTATATCATGAAGATTAAATTAGATATTTACCGATATCTACCTGAGAGGTAAACTAAAATATGTCGACATAGTGCAGTTTTATAAAGGTTATATTTTTAAAATCGACTCATCGAGACCTTTTCAGGGGTATACTATACCATGTATATAAAAAAAAGTTGACTAAAAAAAATATAACACTATGTTCAATAAACTTACAAGGTAAACAACACTTTCTAACTCCCACGTTAGTCGTACTATTTATAGAGGCATGTTGGAGGTATATGAGACTATGTCATAAAAAATTTATTATCAGAATAAAAGGCGTTTTTGGAAACGTACTATAAATAACAAATGCAGATTACTGGGTTTACCCGATGGACCACGTGGATCACTAAACTTAGTGCCGTCAGTTTACGAACGAGTTGGATTATTGTTTCTGTTCATCTATGTCTGTGAATCTTTGACCTTTAGTCCTTATTTGTTAAAGAACCATTTTAATTAAACATATTTGTAGTCTGACTAATAAAGTCGCAATATGGGCATAAAGGTTACAAGTTATAACTAAATGAATGTAGAAAAAATTTCAAAGCTACTACTAGCAGACACCAAACACCAAAAAATTGCGTTATCTCTTTAAAAAATACTGCGGTGCGCTTGCGGATCTATTACTAATCTACTTGTACAATGGCTCACAAAATATTGATCTCGATCACAAAGCTGGATCGGTAATCTACTAGTCTCTGAACACGGATAGGGTTAGTAACTATAGGTAAACGAACAATAGGATCCATAATCTTTTTGATCCGAGTAAGTTTCCGAAAACGCCTACAGAAATATGTTACAAAAACCAACAATTCATGCATATTAAAAAAAAGTTTAAATAGTTAGATTATTAGTAAACAATACATATTGTGAGAATAATTGGGGCTAACTGCATTTCCTGTCGAAATATTATACAGTGCTTTTCAGATAAAAGTATCCACCTTAAGTAACTTTTGAAGGACTGATTATTACAAAAAAACAAAAAAATACGTCAATTAATATTCGAAGGGGGAGATATCGTGCCATATTTAAGTTTGCTGAAAAAGTCATCCTTTCACCCCTACTATCATCCCTTCAATTTTTTTAAATGGCTTCCCCCATTTTTTTATCCATTTTTGGATTGTTCTCGTTTAACTGATTTCAAAAATGTATAAAACATGGGGTTTAAAATAATTAGTTTATGATCTACAGGGTTCCATTATTTGAGTGACAAATTTTTACATCTCACCTTACTGACTGCAGCAAAATTGGATTTAGAATACATTATACCTTAATCGTACCGCTAAAAACTTGTTGAAGTTTTTTATGATACATGGTAAAGGCATTGGAGATTTGAAAAATGAATTTAAATTACTTTTATAGTGTATTTTGATACATGTGCACATTGATTTGTTGAGGTTATTTATTTGATTTGAAAATGGTTTACAGTTTACAAGAAAGAATTGAACTTGTAGGTTTATACTACAAAAATAACAGTTCTGCACGAGCTGCTGCTAGAATTTTCAACGAAACACACCAAGAAGGTCATGCAACTCATAAGTATGTAATTGATCTTATGCATAAATTTACATCAACCGGGTCAGTTGGCAATAAAAAACATAACCGACTGAAACTCGTAAATAACGAAGCAATTGAAGTCGCAGTTTTAGGACAAGTAAGTCTTGAAAATCAACAAGCATAGTCACTGACAACAATAAGCAGAGAAGTAGGTGTTTCATCTTCCACAGTTTATCGAATATTACACAAGCATAAGTACCATCCATACAAAATTAAATTGGTTCAAGAGTTGTATGAAGATGATTTTGATCGTCGTCTTGAATTTTGTGAACTATTGAGTCAGCGCTTGACTGACAATCCACATTTGTTGCACAACCTTTGTTTTTCGGATGAATGCACATTTTCAGTTAATGGTTTAGTTAATAGACATAATTGCAGATATTGGGCTGAGAGTGATCCACGTGCGTGAATACCATACACAGAAACCTCAAAAGTTAAATGTATGGTGTGGTATCCTAGGTGACCACATAGTCGGACCTTTCTTTTTAAACGGAAACTTAAATGGAGAGTCATATCTTGAGTTATTGAAAGAAGTAATTGATCCACGTATTACAACAATAATAGAAAATGATCATAATCTTTCTGAAGATTTGCTTGTCTTTCAACAGGATGGAGCGCCTCCACATTTTGCTTTGCCAGTACGACAATTTTTAAATGAAACTTTCCCCAATCGTTGGATAGGTAGAAGCGGCTCGATGATGGAGTGGCCACCTAGATCACCGGATTTATCACCTCTAGACTTCTTTTTATGGGGTTATTTAAAAACAAAAATGTATGCTACCCAACCAGAATCTTTAGAAGATTTACGACAAAGAATAGAGTATGAATGCCTACATTTAAATGCACACGTGTTCGGTAATGTCAGGGAGGCTTTTCAATCTAGGTTATACCATTGTATGGAAGTAAATGGTGGACATTTTGAACAATTTTTATAATAAATTTTGAAAATGAAATATTCGTTTTGTCATTGGAAACGCTTGTGACAATCATTAAAATAAAAGTTTTGCACAATTCAATTTTATTTTAATTTAAAATTCTGTAGATCGTAAACTAATTACGTTAATCCCCATGTTTTATACATTTTTGAAATCAGTTAAACGAGAGCAATCCAAAAATGGATAAAAAAATGGGGCAAGCCATTTAAAAAAATTGAAGGGATGATAGTAGGGGTGAAAGGGTGACTTTTTTAGCAAACTTAAATATGGCACGATATCTCCCCCTTCGAATATTAATTGACGTATTTTTTTGTTTTTTGTAATAATCAGTCCTTAAAAAGTTACTTAAGGTGGATACTTTTATCTGAAAAGCACTGTACATAGAACACGAAAAGTGTCCAACCAACCTTCAGTCCGCTCTACTAAAAAGTTAACTAGAATGACATAGTGCAGTTTATCACCGAGGTACTGATATACCTATTAAATTATTTTCAAAACTTTGACTTTATCATTCTTATAGTTTACCTATTTTTTAGGCTATTATGTGTTTTAGCCTACTCTTCACACATTGGTCTATGAAGAGTAATAAAGGTTTACTGTCCGTCTGTCCAATGTCACATTTTTTATCTACACGATAAGTCAAAACCGAAAAATGATATCAACTTTAAAATTTTAAGCAAAAATCAAGCTCTATAAGGGGAAAAAGTCGATTGATTTCGAACAAATCTGATTAAAAATAGAGGATTAAGAGGGTTGAAATTAAAAAATAAATCCTAAATTAAAAACGAAAAGCGATTTCAATATGAAATTTTTTGTAAAAAGTAGGCTCTATAGAAAGGTAAAGTCCATTGATTCCGAAAAAAATCGAAATAAATTGGGGAGTAAAGGGGGTTAAAATATAAAAAAACTCAAAAACAAAAAATGATATCGACTTGAAATTTTTAGCAAACCTCAAGCTCTATAAGGTGAAGAAGCCCTTTGCTTTTGAAAAAAATCTGATTAAAGATCATAAATTAAAAATGAAAAGCGATACCAACATAAAATTTTTAGTAATAATCAAGATCTATAAGGAGATGAGGCCTATTGAATGTGAAAAACAATTAAATAAAAGTGGGGATAAAGCATAGTTGATTCTGAAAAAATCTGATTGAAAAGAGGTCTGTTAAACTGTGAAAAGTATAATTTAGAATGCCATACATTATATATTTTCATCATAGTTTGTATCTGTGTAATATTATGTATTGTAATGGGACTGAACTTATAAAATAAACACAGTTCACTTATTTTATTTGTCAATAAAAGGTATTTAAAAAATAAATTATTTTATTTGACATGTGTGACAAATTGTGAAATGAATAAATTTACAATGAAAAAATGAAAAACGGTAAGTAAAGTTTCATATAATAATTTTTACACAAAAAGCTTTCTACATTACTGGATATAGGGGAGATAGGGGTAAGATAAGGACGCTAAGTATTTAGATCGATAAAAATGAAAACATAAAGTTTATTCTGAAAAGTATTTTTACAACAAACATAATCAATTTAGCATACAAGTAATCAGCTTCACTTAAACTAGAAAACAGAAAAGAGCACTTATTTAAAATAGCAACAAATCCCTTCTTGCCCCCATGTACGGGGCAAGATGGGGTACGTCTCGGGGTAAGATGGGGTTATAGCTTTATTTATAAACATTATATGTATAGCCAATTTTTGCAGGTTCATCTTCGTCTACTTCTGCACAAGAATTGTGGGACCACTTGTGACATTCTTGATACGCAACCCATCCTTTGGTAGACTCACCACAGTACAAACATTCTGTGTCATCTTCATCTCTGTTTAGAAGAACATCTTGTGCTCCCTTCGTCTTCTTTTGACCCTGTGTTTTTTCTCACTCATTTTTTGTCTTTTTTTCACTATGGAGGGTCCTGTTTTGGCACCTTCAAGTTCTCTTTTGTAGGGCGTGGAGGTAATGATGCCGTCTTGCCTCGACGGAATTTTTGTTTTCTAGCTTTAATGTCTACAGTTTTCGAAGCTGCTGTTTAAGTCATGGCAAAAATTTTTATAGGAGAAGTTAAACGAACAGTTTTGCACGGAGAGTCACAAGGTGGTGGAGTTTTTTCCAGCAGTTTTATGTAGCGGACCGCGATGCGACATTGCAAGCATACTCAAAGGAAGATTTTTCTCCTCATCTTCATCTAAACTTTGGTATCTAGTAGAGGGAAGCTGATGAAAGCTGCTAGACGGAAAAACCTCATTCACTGACATGTATGGCGGAGGAAGCTGATGGGAGCTTGTAGAGCTTGTAGCTATGTTGTTGTTAACTAGGTTCGGCTGAGCCTCTTTAATAATTTCATGAGAGGTAGAAGCAATAATTTCAGGATTTTCAGTAGCATATGGAGGATGAACTATTTCATTTTTGATAAGGTTTATGTCTCGGTTTATGTTTGTTATTTCCGCAGCAAGAAAATAGGCATTGGAATTTAATGGCCATATTTCACATTTGCGGAATCCGTTGATAGCTGTAGTCATAGTAGCGGCTTGTACAAAGGCTTTTCCGAAAATTTCGCTTATTTGAAACACTAGAGCTAATAATAGAAATAATATTTTGTGAAATGAAAGGTCGATTTCCTAAAATTTTGAAGGATTAACTTTTCCCTGTAATAAATTACGGTTAATGATGTAGGTACTTGAGACGATTAAATTATAAACACCCTCCTTAAACCAACAAATTTTGCTAAATATCCTTTCAGGTAGTTGTATTAATATCTTCAAATTTCTAAATGACTCAGTTTAATTTCAACTTCATTTCAGTCTTTATTGTTGTGTTGTGTTAACCAGTCGTGGGTAAAATCTTATTCAGATTTTGTTGTAGAAGGTGATAACCAGGTGTTTTGTAAAACATGTTCTAAAATTGTAAGTACTTTTATATTTTATTTTGCCCTTTCACAATGGTAAATCAAACGACAGTAAAATATTATTTCAACTCATAGTTAAAAAAAAAGTAGGGCAACTTTACAACGTACGCATTTATTTAATTTAATTTAAACTTGAAAATCTACAGGAATTTATTTGTTTTAGATTCCATGTAAAAAAAAGTTTAAAATCGACCAACACGCGAAAACACCCTCACATATAGCAAAGCAGAAATCTAAAGACACTCGCAGACAAAGTCAACTTCCCTTGAAACAATATTTAGAATCTGGATCGTCTAGAAGTGAACAAGCTATTTTTAATGAAGATTTATGCAAAGCTTTAGTGACTTCGAATATCCCTTTAATACGATTAAATAATCCAAATCTCTGATCATTTTTGCAAAAATACTGTAAATTTAATATTCCAGAGCAAAGTTTATTACGCAAATGTGGTGTTGACAGTTTGTACATTGAGACTCGTGAAAAAATTCGTGAGATTACCATTGGAAACCATTTCTACATTATTGTGAATGAAACAACAGATTCTTGTGGTATATATAGCCCATTTAATGATAGGTTCATTACGCGAAGAAATGCAAATTGGTCCATATCTAATCGCTTCAAAGCAATTAGATAAAACAAATAACTTGACAATAACTCGTTTTATCCAGACAGAATTGTCTTCCTTTTTTCTTCCGGAAGCCGTTCCAACAGAAAAATGTTTATTGCTGTTATCCGATGCTGCCCCGTACATGGTAAAAGCCGCACAAAATTTAAAAATGTTTTATTAAAACTTAATCCATGTTACATGTTTGGCTCATGGCCTTGAGTTGCAGAAGAAATTAGGTCTAACTTTCCTTTAATAAATTATTTAATTAGTAATCTAAAAAAAATATTTCTTAAAGCTATTCTAAGAACTCAATTGTACAAAGAAAAATTTCCTGAATTACAGATGCCACCGGAAGCTGTGATTACTCGGTGGGGTACCTGGCTTAAAGCTGCCTTTTTTACGCAGATAATTATGAAAAAATTAAAGAAATCATATTTGATTTTGATGATTCATCTAAGGGAATATCTAATACAAAGAAGTTGTTTCAAAATCACATATTACCAAAGCAATTAGTGTTTTTAAAAAATTATGCATTTGTACCCAAAATTATATTAGATTTAGAACAAAAAAATTTACCTTTGGTGACTTCCGTAAATTTAATTAAGACGTTTGAATCAGAGTGTAAAAATGACCAGGGCGATATTGGAAAGACGATTTTTCATAAATTTTCAAATGTAATTTTAAAAAATGAAGAATTTACTGTTTTAAGAAACCTTGCTAATATTTATTCTGGTAACTTTGAAGATATTAATACTATTCATCCAGATATTTCAGGAAAATTTAAGTTTGCACCTATTACTTCTGTAGATGTCGAAAGGAGTTTTTCTTTGTACAAGTACATACTTACTGATAGGAGACAATCATTTAATACAGATAATTTAGAAAAACATCTAATTGTTCATTCGTTTTATAATAATGTTGATTTGTAAATAAAATTAGTTAATAATTCAATAATTATTAAGTATTATATTAGGTATTGTAAAATAAAACAAATAATAAATATTAATAAACTATTTCGATCAAATAACAAATTACTCTTATTGCATATGCTCTGCATATTTTTCAATTTTTTACGCATATATTGAAGTATTTTGCGGCATATATATGCGCATATTTAACTACTTTTTGGGTGCATATATTCCTAGGTCTACTGATAACCCTACCAGGATTTGATCTCAGCTAAGCTGTTGCTGTTTGGTCGTAGTATACGCTCAGGGACTTCATAAAATACACGTTGAGTGGCTGAAGCCTATGCGTACAGTGTGGTGGGAAGCAAATTATAATAGCACCGTTGTCCCTAGCAATGTTCGATGTTCTTAGTATGTGGAACATGACCGTCGACTAAAAGCAGCACCGGGTTGTCCTTTCTCGCCCCACTGAACTGGATTAAACTTCTGAACCATGTGACGAATAATTCTGTTGTCATCCATGCTTTTATTCAATAATTCAGCTTTCATGCGTTTCCAAGCAACTTTGTTTTCGAAACAGAAGAGAAACCCGTTTCATCGCAGTTGTAAATCCTCTCAGGTCCTACCTTATATTTATCTAGAGTATCACCCAGCAGTTCATACAATTTTCCAACGGAGACTTTATTAAAGCCCATAGCACTGGCAGCTGAAGTCGCTTCGGATTTTCATATACACAAGTCCTTATGGCGTCGAAGAAATCCTTGCAGCCAGTCGTAACCAGCGAGTTTGGCTGTGGTGTTGAATCTATGTTTTTTGCAATTTTTTACTACTAGTTGGTAGGCTAAACTTCTTAACTCCATTGTTGTTAGTCCGAATAATCCCGCCTCCATGTTTTTTAAATATTTTACTAGTTCAGCTTATTCATTTTCACCGAAAACTGTTGTTATTTATCCTAACGGCAAATCCAAACCAAATTTACAAATGATAAAATTATTGGAGAAAGTAAACACCCATTTTAAATTAGTACAAGCCGCTACTGGATGTGGCTATCGTATCGCTTCTACATTCTGTCGCTGGCGATTTGAGGATGCAAGCGAACTAACTTATGCATGTCGTCCATTTTTCTTCGTATCTGGATCGCATAATCTTCATAGGCTATGTCTTCTCTAGGTCGGCATCCAAACTTGAAGGCACAAGGAAGTCCCATCTGACGCCCAAACAGCACCTTTTCTAGTTTTTGGCCTGTAAATTCATTGACATCGCAGTATCATTGCGAAGAGCGAAAGATACTGATCCCAATCTTGCTGTTGGTACATTTAACAGGTATAATTTGCCAATAGTCTTATTCATTCGCTCTACCACTCCATCCGGCTGTGGGTGCAATGCCGTAGTTCTCGTTTTTTTCATGACTATTCTTCGAAAAAGGTGACTTTCAAAATGTTTGCCTCCAAATCTAGTAATACATTATTGCATTAACACACCTGCAACAGTTGCGGCCTCTTGATTTAGAATGGCGTAGACTTTCACCCACTTCGTGAAATAATAAATCATAAATTTAATACCATCCTCGGTGATAGGAAATGGTCCGCAATATCTAAGACAGTCCTTTCAAATGGGCTACCGACGTTGTACTACTTTATGGAGCCTTCCTTTTTCGTTGGAGTCTTTTACTCATACCACAGGTGATAAATTTCTTACCCCAGTCCTTTATGTCATCGGAACTGTTATTACAATAAAACATTTCACGAACTCTCTGAAGAGTTTTCTTAGCACCGATATGATCTAATGATGGACTGTCGTGTAACTGACGAAGTACTTCGACTACTCTTGTCTTTAGAATGACCAACTGTCTTTGGTATTCAGAACCATTATCATTCTCTAGTACTCGCTTTATGAAGTCTTCTTCCAGGATAAAATAGTCCAACTGACTTAACTACTGGATATAGCTTCTTGCGAAGAAATATTTAAGTGTTATTTTCAAGAAAACTTTCGAATGTAACCATATAATCGTTGTACTGAATTCTATTTTCATTTGTAGTTCCACTTTTTTATATTCTAATTTGAACTACTTTCCGCGGGATAACATTTGGCACAGGTGTCGATTGGTAAAGTACATTGTTTTTACATGCCTTGGGGGCATGTTTCATTTCGTTATCAGATGACGGCCAAAATTTTATTAATAAAATTTTATTAATAAATATAACGAACTCAACTCTACTTGTGGAAAAAGTTACTGAATTATTATTTAACGATTTATTGAGTGGAGTTATTCCAAACATATAGAAAAATAGAGATATTATTCCATTGCCTAAAGTTGTAAATCTTTGTGAATATAATGATTTGAGGCTCATAACACTACTATAATAATAATAATAATAATAATAATAATAATAATAATAATAATAATAATAATTAATAATTAATAATAATAATAATAATTAATAATAATAATAATAATAATAATAATAATAATAATAATAATAATAATAATAATAATAATAATAATAATAATAATAATAATAATAATAATAATAATAATAATAATAATAATAATAATAATAATAATAATAATAATAATAATAATAATAATAATAATAATAATAATAATAATAATAATAATAATAATAATAATAATAATAATAATAATAATAATAATAATAATAATAATAATAATAATAATAATAATAATAATAATAATAATAATAATAATAATAATAATAATAATAATAATAATAATAATAATAATAATAATAATAATAATAATAATAATAATAATAATAATAATAATAATAATAATAATAATAATAATAATAATAATAATAATAATAATAATAATAATAATAATAATAATAATAATAATAATAATAATAATAATAATAATAATAATAATAATAATAATAATAATAATAATAATAATAATAATAATAATAATAATAATAATAATAATAATAATAATAATAATAATAATAATAATAATAATAATAATAATAATAATAATAATAATAATAATAATAATAATAATAATAATAATAATAATAATAATAATAATAATAATAATAATAATAATAATAATAATAATAATAATAATAATAATAATAA